GATATGCCACGTGCACAAACGATGATCAGTTCTGGTCCAGACTGTAGCTATTGCTTTACCCATTCCACCGTCCCCATCGGTGATTGCTGAAATGGGTGGCGTCTGGGACATTGCCTCCAAAAATACATGAAGAAGCCACTGGTATGATGCAATTGTCTCGTCTAACAATAGACCGACCCCAAACAAAAGTGTGCTGCGGTGATGGTTCAGACCAACAAATGGAACAAACGAAAGCCTGTACTTGTTAGACTGATATGTACTGTCGAACACCACGATACCACCAAAGGCAACAAAGTCAATCCGGGATTGTGAATCAGCCCAGAATATGTTCCTCAAATGGCCTTTGCTGTCTTTTGTGTATTTGAAAAAGAATTATGGGTCTGCTTTTTTCCGTGCAATCATATAGGTGAGCAAATATCTAGCGTTACTGCCTTCTATCTTGCGCTTCTTCTATATTGAAACATGGTTGTATAGGTCTCGATCTATAAATCCAAGCTTGTCGGGACCTCCGGCATTCTTCTCCATTACATTCATAATTTGATGTGTTCGAAGTCGACCGACAGCATACTCGATGACATCGGCCTTTTGTGCGTCAATCTTTCTACGATGAGCCGATAAGTAGGGAGTCAGGTCAGCAGGGACAAACAGATGATTATGCTTGTCCACAAATTTTTTGACGAAACGGAGGCCACAGCTATCTTGTAGCTCAACCTGAAAAAGAGCGGGACACACACACCGAGAAAGACCCCTCGGTGTTCTTTTTCTTTCATCTCTGTTAAAGTGCTTAGGGCCTGCCATCCATGTTTGCAGCACTTGTATGTCCTTCTGTATGCATCTTGTTTCGGACCCGGACCCCTGTACTTCAGATCATCCTTTCTAACACCAAACCCTTTTTTTCTCGCATAGCCTACGTAGAACATATAGGCTTCTTCCTCAGTCCTGAAAGTCTTCTTCACAATCTCTAAGTATTACATATACTCATTCAGGTCTGAACCAGCCATGCATTTATTATCAATTCCTTTACCTTGCATGTGTACATCATCCATGTCTACGCCATCCTTGCCTGCATCCTCATTATTCTTATCATCCATGCACATACCATCCATTCCTTTGGGGTTCATGGCTACAAAATCATTGTCCCTATCATCCATGCCTTTGCCTTCGTTGCCTCTATCACCCATGTCCTTGTCATCCTTCCTGTATCACCCAAGTATTCACCATCATTGCCTTTATCATCCATGTCGTTGTGCTGCCAACGAAAACAGATAGTCAATGTTACAGATGGATAGCATACATAATAATTATGCACCACTCTGCTTAAATAATTGATTTAATTTTTCATATCGGATTCATGTAGCAAACTCAGTCCTTCAAAAGTTGTAAGTAAGTATAAAATATGCCCTGACTAAATCCAGAAATATTTAATTGATTGTACTTGCTGTAACTGATGATCTCCTAACTAAATCCAAACTCCACGAATCCTTCAAATGCCCTGATAGATCCACCCTGATAGATCAATTATATCCAAACTCCATTCAAAATTATCTCCTAACTAAATCCAAAATTATCTCCTAACTAAATCCAAATTATCTCCTAACTAAATCCAAAATATCTCCAAACTCCATACAAAAATAATTAACTCCTAACTAAATCTAGAATATCTCGAAACTCAATTCAAAAGTATAGCTATATCCAAAATAACTTTCTTTGAATCCAAATCTGCTGACAACTTTCTCCTACCACATAACCCTAACTAAGTCCTTCGATATGTCCTAGCTAAATCCGACTTACACTTCCTTTCAATCAAAATCTTGTCACAACTTTCCGAAACCATAAACCCTAAACCTCACATGACATATCCTAAACCCTAATCACATCCGACCACTATTGGTACTATATGCAGAAGGGACCAGACAAGTTTTGAGATGGCTAGGCACTTACAGGGAAGATCTGGCGTGAAAAAGTTGATGCACGTCGGTGAGGATGATGTGCCCTCTCGGGTCGGGGAAGGTGGCGTCGGCTTGGGAAGGAGGGGATTAGTGGCTCGTCGGAAGATCTGGCGTCGCGACCCGAGGCGGGTGACTTACGATGGAGGGGGGATGGGGGAGTAGGAGCAAGAGGAAGAGTGACACGGCGAGTGGGATCGGCGGCGATCGAGGGCGCCGGAGGCGATCGGCGGCGATCGAGGGCGCCAGAGGTTAGGGCTCGAGAAGAGGAGAGTGGACGACCCGCTAGAACCGGAATTCAAATGAGTACGCGCGATGATTGGTGTTATAATGAAGTGCAATGTTAATGCAACTAATTTAATCGAAAAATTTAGGACGGGAATACCCCTGGACCTAATTGGGCCAATTAAAGGTATAAAAAAATTTAGGTCAAAAATACCCTTGGGCTCTAAAAAGGCCAAGTTAGTCTCATTCGTTAGATCGACCATATAATACACGTGCTCTGGTGTATTATAATGTACCGTAAAACCTCCCTCAAAACTATACCATCAGCGAGAAATACACTGAAGAGCTCATCATGTTGACTAAATCAGGGTACTTTACACTAAGGCCTCTTGAAAACTGCTAAAATATAAGCCCCTATGTTGATTCACAGTAGCAGAAACAATGACTAGAATGTCCATTTCTCATGTTTTACAGCAGGCCGCCGAAAGCTTGACATCAAGAGATCAGAAAGCAGAGAAGTAACTGCATGATGAAATCAAAAATCCATGCAATTTAGCAAACTCGCATTCTGAACATTCATTGATTGAATCATTGTGCAAGCAAAGAGCCAAGAACCAGAAAACAGATTTAGCATATTAGAATGAGTGGCGCATCCTTCATTGTGCAAACAAGAGCCAAAAAGCAGCAAAACGGAAACTTGACAGACATCACCATAATAATAATACACTTAAAGAGCACTGAAATATCCAGTTCAGTTATATATAGGGGCTTATATTTTAGCAGTTCTGCGGTGAGGGGTGGTGTCCGGTGGTGGCGATTTTGGGCCTCACCTGCCCAGATCCAGTCCGCGGTGTGCCGGCCGACCAACGCGTTTGGGGGCTGGAGGAATTGTGCCGGCTCTGGCTGTGTAGTGGTGAGGCTGAATCGAGTCTGTGCGGCAGTGCTCTGGGAGAAATCCCTGCTCACTTTGTGTGAGCCGACCACGATGGCGCCACCACGGCGTCCTACACCTTTCAGAGGTGTGGTCTTCGAGCTGTTCCGGGTGGATCTGCTCCGGCGTGGTACAGGCCGTCTTGCTGTTGGGATATGCTCAAACTCCAGGTGAGAACCTTGCTTCGACTATGTTGATGCTAACGGCAACGACGTCTATGGACATCGTCTTCCTCGCAGGAGGTGCCGCTGTGGAGCTCCAGCACCTATGGTACTTTGCTTTGTTGTCACCGGGTGAAAACCTAAGTTCAGGCTCGCTGGATCGGACGATGGTGTTGTGTCTTTGACAGCACTACCTCCTTGGAGGCCCAAACAACGGCTCATGTTGTTGCGCGTGGTTGAGGGTGGTGCGTTTGGTGGTGGTGGTTGGGCCAGCTTGGGGCCGACGGTGGTGTGCTTTCTTCTTCATGTGTTTCTCTTCGGCTGTCCTTCACGTGGTCACTGTCCTGTTGTTGTGCATGCTCAAGACCCTCCCATGATTGCCGTTGTGCTGCGGCGATCTTTGTGCTCTTGGTGTTGTCTTGATTCACCTTGCTCAATGACGATGCAATGACGCCTCCCCAACCTGCTAATCATTTCGACCGCCCGTGGCGGATCTCCCAGTCAAGGTTCGTGTTAAGGTTTGACACTCGTTGATTATAGATGATACTCTGTTGTGCCGTGGGGCTCGGTACGCACGCTGGTGCGGTGCGTTAGGTTGTTTGCAAAGTCTTGGTATTGTGATCCCTCGACAGCACCCCACATCTACTTGTGTCTCTTGTGGTGTTGGTCTTTCTGCCTGCTAGCTAGGTCATGCCTTCTCCTGGGTGGCAATTTTTTTCCTCATCTCCTGTAACCTTGTTACCTATACGGTTTTCGGCCCGGTTTCCCTCATAAACGGGTCAATTTGTTTAGGTTTTTAATCTGGTTTCCCTTATAAACTGGATCAACCAAAGCTTAAGGGGTGGCTCTTGGCTTTGGCAGCTTTTTGAGCAATATATTC